TGAAATTAGTTTCTAAATTAAAAATATCTACATATAATTTTAAAAGATTTGGTTTAATATTTTATTAATTTACTTTTCTTATTTCATTAATTTCTTATTTACTAAATATTTTTTTTATATTTAAATTATTCCTTTTATAATTTAATTTTTTTTTTAATTTAAATTTTATACAGATCATTTATTTATCTCTTGTTAACATATTTTATTTTATACAAAAATTTATTAAAGTTTATTATATTTATTTTATAGTCATAATCAAAAGATAATGCACTAGTGTGTACGTTTAAGAGTTTTGTATCATATTTTTAAATGAAAGCTATTGTTTATTTGAATGCTCTTGTTATAAAAAAAATATACATACAAATCAATTAAATTATTATTTTCTTTTTTAAATGTGCATTTAATATATTTTTTTTTATTTTAAATATAGGTTACTATTATTTACAAGATATTAAATTGATTTGTTTCATTAATTTTTTTTTTAAATTTATAATAACTACATTATAGTTGTTAATAACAAAAAAAAAAATCTGGTTTTATCGTACTAATATTATTTAAATGGTAAGAAATTTAGTTAAACTATTACATTTTAAAGTGAAAACGCTTGTTATAAGTTTTTGATTGAGAAATTTTGTATTATTCGTTTAAACTTTCAAATGTAAGGAAAAGTAGTGGGAATAAAATAAAAAATAAAACAAATATAATAAAAATATATTATATATTTTGTGCTCTTAGTTCATATATTTTCTACAATTTTTCTCTAATGTACTGTGTAAAGGTTTTCATTAAAATTAATTTAATTGCACGCCGGCATTTCGATAAAACTATTTAGTAGTTATTTTAATAATTAATTAATAAACTTATTTTCATTTAATTACAAAATATGGCTTATTCAGATATATGGAAAAATCGCAAACTAAGTTTCCACACTCATAAACTAATAAAAGAAAATACTATATAAAAACTCATGAGAAAAATATTTAATATTATTATTAAGATAATTGTTGTGGCAGTGTAATGAAAACTACAATTTCTTTAAAAATAAAATATGCATTGTTTAAATTTTTAAATAAATAAAGCAAAATAGTAATTGAATAATAAAAAAAAAAACAAAAATAAATGGTTTTCTTTACAATGTTAACTTAATGAAAATATCATTCAAACCCGCTTTGATTTGTAAAAAACAATAAATACATCACAGAGTAAAATTGAATTTAATGCTGGTTTAATGCATTACAATTTAGTAACTAATTTATATAATACAGTAACGGTAAAATGGAAAAATGCATAATATATGTATATTTAAAACTATAATTAAATGGAAATTTAAATCGGAAAAAAGGTTGTTTTATTGTTTATAAATAAATTAGTTATTAATAGTTATTAAACATCCGCTACTAGCGCCATCTATAGATGTACTTATTTGGGCGTTTATTTTTTCACTAATGAGGATAAAATCCAGGTTTAATATATGAAAGGACGACTATTGATAAGAACAAATGTCCTAAATATAATTGAATTTTACATATTGATCCCGGAAATAGAGGAATTTGATTTGTGTTGTTGCAGTTAAAATTAATAAATGAATTAATGAATAGATGTTTAGTTTAGTCCGTGCTGTTTTATTTTAGATACTTTACATTTAGCTGGTGTCTTATTAATTATTGTTTATATATAAACGGCGTGTAAGTTTGAATTTATGCAGTCACATATTTTTATGTCATACTACTAAATCTTCCAGCCTATTTGACTTGTGATTCATTCATTATTCCAGCTGTTCAAGTATTGTTCTGTTATAGTACTCTATTAATAGTCTATATTGGCTTTTTTTATGTATACCATGCTACATTTTTCACTTAAAATTCAAAGAAATCTCACTTAAGTGTCAAATCATTACTTGTGAGATTTGTAAAATTGGCACTTATAATTTAAATGCACTTGTACTTTTCCTTTTAACTGCTATTTTAAACAGACTAACTTCGGGTGGTTGGATTTTCTGTCATCGGATTACTAACTCACTGTGTGTATTAAGATCTGTTTATTAAGATTTATGTACAATATATATATAGAAGCATATATTTCGGAAAACAACCATTTTGCATTTCGTTTAAAAACTTGTGTACTAATAATGCATATTACGGTAGTAAATCATCAAAAAATTACAAAGCCCATGTACTACAATAATTCTTATCCCTTCCGCAATATGTAATATATATTATTCTTCAATTCTATATAATTCTATATAATAATATAATGGTTTTTTTAACTTAATATTCTAAGATTTCATGTGTTATTTTTTTTTCTCTTTATTCTTAGAAAATTTAAATTCTCATACCATAAAAAACTGTTTAAAATTGCTAATAATACGTTACTATTTGAATTTAAAGTCTTTAATTAGCATAAATATATTAAAATGACGACCCTGTTCTTGTATTTGACATATAGCACGTGAATGCTGAACAGCTGTTTGCTGTTGTCGGCTTTGCCGTTTACAGAAATTCTGTTAAATACAATTCGTTATTTATTTGGTTTGCCTTGGAGGAGTAATATGTATTAGTCTATAAACAGTTTTAATAAAAACAAAATTCCAAACTGAACGTTTAAGTGAGCGACTTCAAACATTGGCAAGAAATTTCTAGAATTGGCAATATATCTACATACATAAATAGATTATAATAAACATATATACGTAAAGTAAAAAGAAAACCGCGTCGTGAAATTAAACAACCATCGATTGTAATCTGTCTAAGAGTTATTTGTGCAAGTAATAAAGGCAATTATTAGTAGTTAATCAGCAATTGCTATCGTTGCTAGACAACCGCGCACTATCACTATTTAACAAACAACCAAATTACTATTTGATATATACATACATAAAACTGGACACCATGTCTACGGTGGGTACTTTAAAGGAATGTGTACAACTGCCCATTAAAGATAATGAGTTAGTCGATATAGTGCAAAAAGCCAAAGATTGGGCTATAATGCATGGCGCTGCCATGCGTTCCAAATCAAATTTCAGTCCAGATACATTAAATGTAAGTTTAAGTAATATTTTGTAGTTTTGGAGTTGAAAAAATATTTATGTGATATAAATTTTATGTAAGTTTGCACCATTCGTTTTGGTTCCTTCATCATTTCCTCGAAAAGAATTCGAGAGAGCGATCCATTTACAACCAACAATAAACCGCCTTATGCATAATGTAGCACATGATGAAGAATTCCTCACTACCACACTAGCGGACACCATAAAAGTCGATGAGTTTACGGGTAATCTATTTAATGTATACAAAAAGGTTCTCGCAAATGGCTTCGGACAGGTATGTCGTCTTAATTATACATAATTAGTGGCTCATTAACACTTGCACGGCTTTATATTTCATTTCACATAAAACAAACATTTTCATTTGAAATTGGATGCAAAAGCAAAACATTTATTCAAAATTTGTTAATTGAAATGAAGTGTTAAAATAAAATAATTGCCACGTTCATATATCATTGTTTACATATACTACATTTATATATTTATTACTGTGTTTATTTTTGAATGTTTTTTTTAGCAGATAAAAATAATTGTTTAAATAGTTTACATATTCGCAAAACGCTTATCATACAAACGCTATCATTTGTGAGGAATTATAATAAAGTCTGTAATCGTTTATATAGAATTAGTCGTTATGAGGAGAATTTTTACTCATGACGTCAGGGTTTTGCGTGTGAAGAGTTAAACAACATGACAAGCAATTTTTAAATTAAAATATTTGTATTTGAATTTCATAATTTCATAATTTCGACTAACAAAAATGTATAGATATTTATGTATTAGTTATGTATTGTTACAGGGGCGTATTTTGTTTAAACCAGCTAAGCTTCTAGATGTATGTTTGTAATATGTATATAACATCTTAATGGATTATTGCACTAGGAATCAATAAAACAATATTTGATATCTAATAAAACTTTAACTGCTTTAATAGAGGTGTAAAAAATATATAAATCTTTGAGTAGATTTTAAAAAATTAAGTACAATTCAGTACTTTCTAACTATTGTTATTGTAGTATAATTAAATTTTTGTTATAATATAATATAAACTTTTCAATAAAGTATATTATTCTAAAATTATAACTAACACTCTGCCTTTAATAAATATTTAGTAGTCAAAAATATTGTTAATTGAAAATATATTAATTATTAAATTATTAAACCAGTATTAGTTAGATTTGTGTGGGTATTATATTTATATATATAAGTTTGGTATACTGGTTATTGTTGAATATATATAAATTCGCATTGATAACATTTTTAGCTAATAACTGTTAATAATAAATATGTATATATATATAATATTGCTTTTAAACTCACATCATATTATCATTTCAGTAAGAAGTAAATGCTATCCTGTATCCATCCGACCTATCCTAACTCTAATTTACAAATGTCCACATATAACCTTAACTATCTTAACCTTATATTGCCTTACCTAACCAATTCAATATTGTTTATTTTTCTATTATTATTTTTTACATATTTACACATTTTATAACTGTGAGTAAAGCGCATTTCTCTGGGACTATTGCGAAGTGATTTGATGTTGGATTCGAATTGTAGAAATTTAAATGGCGAATATGAAGAAAGTGAAACAGAAACCCCCAGTGCCTACTGTTGCTGGAAACAAGTTGAAGTTAACACAATAGCCTCTGGCTTTGGCCATTTAGGACCAGTTAGCAGAGCTATACAAAGGTGCAGATTATTATTTTATAACGAAAAGTTTTATTAGAGCTTAGCGAAACGCTTCGAGTTATTTCCAATTTTTGTTTCCTACTGTTGGTTTGATTTTTTTTTTGCAATAATATAAATATTTATATTTTGTTTATACATGAGTTAAGCAGTTTATTGACTTGTCTATACACATAAGATTTACTGAAGAGCTTTGCTGAGCTCGTTAAAATGTTACAATCTACGAGTAAAAACACACACACCGGTCAGTGAAGCTCTCAA